CTGGGATTCAGGAGTTCCTGTGCCTGGAGAAAATGCAGTTGTCTGAGGATGCCCAAAGCATTTTGCAGCCTAGGAAGTACTTCTGTGGTCTTTACAAAAGGGAAAAATCTCTTGGCATCTGCCATGCTAGGACCTAACACAAGGTTGCACAGTAGAGTTTGTAAAACAATGTGTTTCCCCTTCTGTAGGACAGGGGGTAATACATGGTCGGTTCCCCCTGCGGGGGTTGGCTGATAGTGGATATGCACTGGCCAGTGCAATGCTGTGTGGATCACTACATCTTAGATGTGATCTGTCTTCTGTGCGTCCCCAGCTTGGCAGATGCATTTTAGCAAAGTGTCTGTTTCTTTATTTTTTTTATAAAAAGGGAGCAGAGGTATCTGGCTCCTCCTGCTGCACCAACTGCACTGAAGTTTTGCTCTGGGAGCACTGACCGCACCAGCTGCTTTAAGGAGGACACAAGTTCCTAAGTTGTGCTCCACTGTGAAAAGGAGCAAATAGTATTTCTTTCAACAGCACGTGCTTTTTGTTTCCACGTGATTTCAGTTCTACAAGCTCACTTGCTTCATGTCCTTTTATTTATTTGAAGACTTCCCTCAGACAGCAGGGAAAGTGCTGCAAACCCACTGTAGAGTTCAGCAGCTGCATAGCAGCTTGGCGTGCAGCAGGGAACGAGCGTGCCTCTGGCACCGTGTTGCCAGCACAGATGATGTGTGGCAACAAAAAAGCTTTTAAGAACAGCTTTCTTGGAAGTGTCATTGTGCTGTGTTCTTCCCTAAGTAGGGAAGAACAAAGAACAGAGCAAAGAGGGCACAGTAAGAATCAGCTTGTGTTCATAGGTGGGTTATTTGTTGGATGTGCTGACCTTGCCTCTGCCCCTTCAGGAGGACTGTGGAATAAATCCTTTGCGGGGAGGGGGAAATGCACTGGAGCTGCCCACTCAGGATATTTACTTTGCCGTTCCATGGTGCCACAATTGTCAGTGAGGGGACAGCGTTGGATGCTGGAGATGAGGGATACTGCCTCTTAAAAACTAATGTTCAGGCAGGGCGATCTTGTGCACTCACACTATCGGTTGCCAGGATTGTGCATAAATGTGCTCGTTTTCTGACATTGCAAACTCAGTCTTGTAAATGTTGGGGAAATAGTTGGTATCTGAATTTTCTGTATCTGCCAATATTTAATTCAGGGAGCAAATAAAAATTATCCTGGTGTTACCAGCTTGTTTGCTTTGTTTGACTGTGAATTGTGTGTCTCTAGTTGTGGTACGTGCCTGAGCAGGGCTTAACAGGTAAGCTAGATAACTCATCACTACTTTTTCCTCAAGAGATTTTAAGCACATAATAGGCAGGTAGGAAATCAGCACACCACTGAATTGGTGTAAATGATCAGTGGTAACTCCTGTCCTCACTGCTTACAAGTAAAGAACAGTTTATTAAAACTTCTGAACTTAGAATCCTGAAAATGGGTGAGGTTTGGTTTTGTACAGGATTATGTTGCAAAGATTAACCTTAAAGTCTATGAAACTTGTTATCCTTTGCCGTGATGAGAGTTAGTGGGAATGTTGTCTGCTAGGTACAGCATTGTGCCCTCCTGATGTTGGGGAGTAAGAACTGGTGGAGGAGGGGGAACGACAGCTATAGAGCTCTTGGTAAAACCATTTACAAACCAGCTGCAAGACTTGGTAATTTTAAAATCTCCATGCACGTTAAGTATTTTTTTCCTTTTACAATGTAAAAATGGCTTAAAAAATAGGCTTAACCTGTAGTTCCATAAATTACCTGTTTTTGCCAGCGGTTCTTGATTCTTTGTGCCAAGTAACAATTCCACTATTGTTTTTTCCAAAATCCTTACTCCTTTGCTCCATAGTAGCCAACTTCTTCATGGTGTGAGTTGCTTCCTTACCCAGGGGTTAAGATCCAAGGGGGGAATGTTGCTCTATGGCCAAATATCCTTCAGGCCTCAGTAGTGTGTACAGTGGGGTAGTTTTACAGGTGCCGAGAATAGAGTAGCAAAATGGAGACGCTCAAAGTAGGACACTTGACATTCTCCAAGGTGGAGTTCTGGCATGGTGCAGCATCCTTACGGGCAGGTCAGTGCTTTTAAAGGAGCATTAATTGCATTGCTTAAGTATAGAGTGGGCTTGATGCTTTCTGTTGCTTTCAATCAAGATCTGCGTTTGGTTGAAAGACTAGAAGTGTGTTTGAGAGCAACCTGGACTGCGCAGTCGTTACCATCCATCTTTTTTGAGCAATGTAAGCAGTAAGTACTTCTATTTTTTCTGAGGTCACAATAGTCAATTTGTCTGACTTCCCCTCTAACATGGATGGATGGATGGATGGGTGAGTGTCACCTGGTGTTCCTGTATCAAACCCATAACTTCAGTTAACGATAGTGTGCCCTTTAGAACAAGATAATAGTTTTGTGTTGCTTAAAGGTGTTAAGTGATGGAGCTCAAGTACATCCACCTCTGCTCTGTTCTGAGAAGCACTAAAACTGCTGGAGCCTGTTTGCAAGGAGAAGCAATGCTACCAATGCTGCAGTGTTTCAAGGCAGCTACAAGCCGAGAGGCTGTTCAGAAACTCTTCCTTGTGGACTTAGAGTGCTCAGCATAATCCCCTACTGCTAACTCCTTCAGCTCTGTGCTCTTAACGTCCATTCATTAAGAGTGGGTCATACTTCCAAGACCTCTGTGAGCAGTTAAATCAATCTGTTGATTGAGTCTATTCAATCACTTGTTCTCTTTTAAAAGAAAAGGCAGCTGTAACAATGAGATTTTGTTTGCTAGACCCCCACCCCCCAGGGAGTGTGTGGCACCCCTCCTCTGGGCTGCATGTGCTCCTTGAGGAGCTCAGCACTTCAGAAAACCACCCTTCTGGTAACAAAGGTGTCTAACACGTAAGATACAGGCTCCAAGGTCCATCCACAACTGTGCTGGGAGACGGGCAAGACAGTGGCCCTGTCAGGAGAAGACTATAATTCTTTCACATGGGCTCAGCTTTTGGGGTAGGGAGGTGTTGCAAAAAGACTTCAAGATTATCTCTCTCAGAGTTGACACAATAAGAAGCAGCTTAAATAAACTTTTCCATTCCTGACCTGGATTCTTCTTTCCAGGGATGCCAGCTTTTACCACAGAGCTCGGAGCATGAGGAAGTGACAACCTTCCAAGAGCTGATGTGGAAACATGGGAGAGCCTCATGCCTCTTGCAACTTCTGCTTACCTGAGATCTTCCCTTGATTTTTTTTAATTTAATGTCAGATTCTTTACCCAGTCTAGCAGTGCTGCCCAGATAATTGCTAGCAATGCCTACAGGACTCTTTCATGCATGAGGAGGCTGTTTAGCTCACGCCTGCCTGCCAGCCTGAGGAGCTTGGCTCTGTTCCCTGTAAGATCTCTCTGGCTTCTCTTCCTACGGCAGGTGAGTCTGGCGCTGAGGGCTGGTGATCTAGTCTCACACCCCGTGCAGGCCCACGGTGTGGTTCTTCCTCTGCATTTGTTCCTTCTAATCCAGGACAGTACAAGGCAGTTCTTCCCCTTCCTGGTGGTGGGTGTTCCTGAAGCTCCATCCACCCTGGCTTTGCTCTTGGCCACAGCTCCAGGAAACTGTGGATGGAGACAGTTCCTCAGCACCCCTTGGGTGCTGGCAAGGTGTCCAGAGGGGAAGCCAGCCAGGCCAAGACTGCTGCAGCACAGAGGCAAGTCCTAGGGGCTGGGGTCACAGTGCTGGTGACTGTAGGTAAGAGAGTGATAGGGTCCAGGGAGATGGAGAGGATGGGGAAGAAACCACAGAGCCAAGGGGCTGTTGGAACTGATGTGTACACAGTTGAAGAGGCCATGGCATGTGGAAAGGAGGATGCTCCTGAAGAGGAGAGGAGGCAGTCTGCTTGGTGAGGAAATGATTCTGGGGAACTTGAAGGGACACTGCGTTGTCCAGTGCCTGAGTATCAGGGATGGATGTTGGATGGTGACAAGGGGTTTGCAGGGAAGCTGCAGCTGGAGAGGAATTGAGGTGGGAGGTTCTGTGCTCCTCTTGTGCAGCAGAGCCCTTGTGTAGGGTGGCCATCAGAGATGGAGTGTGGAGAGTTCCAAGGGGTCTGGACACAGGAGGACAGGGTAGAGCAGGCAATGTCTCACGTTCTGTAAGCTGTACTCAAGGAGGAGCATGGAGAAGACTGGGAGGCGAGTGAGAAAGGACCAGGGCTGCAGAGATGGGAGGCCTGGGCTGTGCACATGAGATGCGGTGGAGGTTGTGGGACACAGCAGCAACCATGGGTGTCATTGTTTGGTCTAAGAGGGGACGAAAGCTGAAGGGGAGTGGGGAGCCTGGGAGGGGTACAGGGGCACATGGCAGCTAGGAGTGGGAATGTGGGTGCACGGAGAGTACTGGGCTGTATAGAAGAGGATCTGGATGTAAAGTAAACATCCAAACGCACCCCCAAGCAGTGGGGCTGTGCGGGGCCAGGGAGGGGAGGAGGGGTACAGTGCCAGGGGGACATGCACCCAAA